TATATATATATATATATATATATATATATATACATTATTTATTATCACGATTATCACAAGAAAAATTCTGAAATAACTTTTGGTATTTGAGATTTAAAACGTTTTCAATGTATTAATCTTTTTGTAACGCAAGATTCGAAATGTCATACATTTTGTTGATAATAAGTTTGTGCTTATTATCTTTGAACTTTTGAAAACATTGTTTTTAAAATTAATATTAAAATTTAAATAATAATCTTTAAAATAAATTACTTTTTTATTAATCTTTTGAATTTACTTAACTTTTTTGTAGAATATATGAAAAAACGACATGAAAAAAAAATAATTTATAATATTTATAATATTTATTATTAAATAAACAAACTATATACACACAGATTTGTATACAATTTTATATACATTTAGACTTTTGAAAATTATATCTCTAAAACATTTATGTATAAAATATAAAACCTATATTTTAAAATATCCATTTTTCAACTTGTTAAATAAAACATAGAAAGAAAAAAACAAGAAAATTATATATGTATATACTCTATGAGTGAACTTGTGACGCATAAAGGTGAAATTTTCATATGAGTTTACTTTCGACTAGCATTTTGAAGTGCATTATTGCGTGAGTATACGTTTTCCCCGATTACGATTGAAATAAATTAAATTGTAGAAACACGTTGAAAGACATTTGTGAAAGCATACAAATGTTATTATCTATTGAAACGCTATATGAGCATGATAGAAAGGGTTTCATATTTCTTAAGCCGTAGTTTCGAGCAAAAACGTGAGATAAAAATCTTAGAAATTTCACACACTATTTTTGTAAATGAAAGCGAGATTATTAAAATTGATCAGAGTTTGATAAATTCTTTAATTTGTGAGTGAATTCTACACACGGTATTTCAAACGTTTGTTCTAATGAAACTTACATTTCAATCAACGAAAATATCTGAAATTCGGAAGTTTTTTGTCAATGATGTCAATGGTGGTCGCAATATAAATCACTCTAAGCCGTCTCAGGGACTGGCTTTCAAGAAATGAGAGCGTCGTTCTAAAATCCGAACGATTCGCGCTGAGCCAATGTTATTTATCAAATCGTATCCTTTTTCTCGATTCTTTCGACTTGTAAGATTTGAATGCAATTCTTCTTTCATCCGCATACAAATTTGGCAGGATGAATTTTTATGACAAAAATTTGAGAATTTTCCTTTATATTTTTATATAATTAAAATATTCGATAATGGATAATTATATTCATTATAATAATCATTATTACGATAGAAACAGATGGAAAAAGAATTTTTGTTTAATAGAGAATTTAGAGAAATATATAAATCTTTGAAGAAAATGTAAATGATATAAAATGTAAATGATATATAATAATATTATACAATTCATTCATTCTTCGACATAAATTGAAATTATCATGCTAATAAAAAAAATTAGATAAATTTAAAAAATTCGTTAAATTTGTGGCCTTTTGCTATACTATTCTTGCAATCGCTATTCTTTCTCCTTCGGCATTCGTTTTTTTCAAAGGCGACCACCCTGCAGTTTTTACAGAATGAAAAGTGTAACCATAAAATATCGATTCTACGTCAATTTTTTAAAAGGGGCGGTGCGGAACAAACAGTAGAATGGCAAAGAAATAGTTCTGAACGTGAGTTCGATTGAATCATAGAGATTTTTTTAAACATGTTTAAATTGCCGGAGAAAATCCTTGCCGTCTTTAAGTGTTATAGAATTCACATCACGTCGATGATGAAACGATCGTCGCATTCTAAAATCGTTCCTGGATCCATTTTTGAAGGATCAATTT